ATGAACCCGGGGCGCTTCGTCAACGGCGAGTTCGTCCTGACCGACAGCCAGAGGAAGGGAATGAGCTTCCGCTTCGCTCCGGAACCAAACGGCCCGCTGCACATAGGCCACATGAAAACCTTCCGCACGAACTTCAACTGCGCCGCTGAGAATGGTGGCCAGATGATCCTGCGCTTTGACGACACGAACCCAGAGACGGCCTCCGTTGACTACTGTGAAGACGCCAAGGAGATGTTGCAGTGGCTCGGGTACGACATCAGCGCCTTAAGGACGACCTTCACGTCAGACTACTTCGAGGTGTTGATGCAACATGCTCGCACGATGATTAAGAAAGGTCTTGCATACGTATGTCACGAGGACTCCGTCAGTTCTGCGAAAGCGTCCCCTTGGAAGGACAGATCGATAGAGAAAAACATTTGTGAATTTGAAAGGATGGTAAACTACGTATATCCAAAAGGTAAAGCTGTTCTTAGACTGAAGTATGAAGACAGATATTTTGTGGACCCAGTGGCCTACAGGATTAAGCAGGGCAACCATTTTAGGACAAAGGATAGATGGGCGGTATATCCATCCTACGATTTCAGCCATCCCATAGTGGACTCTATTGAAAATATCGCTGTGTCCATTTGCACCTTGGAATTTGCACACCACAGAATTTTATACAACTGGATTCAGGAAAAGCTGAACCTCCCATTGGTTCCCCAGCAGGAACAACCGAGGCTGTCGCTAGAAAATGTAGTATTATCAAAGCGGAAATTGATCAGCTTGCACAGGGAGGGTGCTTTACATGACATGGCGGACCCACGTCTGGCTACTCTCGCTGGCCTTCGGAGTCGTGGGATTCCTCCGAAGGCGATTGAAAAGTTCGTGGCTCAAGGATTCCGCGAGTTCGCTCAGCTGCTCGATATCGCCAGGAAGGAACTGTTGCCAGTTGCTGAGCCCTACAAGATGGTCCTGGATCCACTCTACTGCCGTGTGGTCAACTATGCGGAGATTAAGCAAGGCGCCGAGAATCCGCAAGAGCCGCTGACCGAGCCCCATTTCTTTATCAGTGGCCTGGACTTCGACGACGATGACACCTCCGACGAAAGTTCGCCGCAAATTTTATCTCGCAACAGGCCTGCAAGCCTCTTCGGACTGCCATACAAGATCACCGTGAAGGAGGTGGAGCGCCGCGAGGGAAAAATCCAAGCCCTGGCAGTCGCCCTCACTCCTAACGACAAGGTCAGAGGCCTGAGGTCTTTGGTCTGGGTCCCCGCTCCCTCTCGTGCCACTCTTGTTTACGCCGACCACGTCTTTACTGGGAGTGACTTGCAACCTGCGCCAATCCGGTATGCGAGGATCTACGCAGAGCCAGGGTTCTTCTCCTTCGTAAAGACGGGCGAAAAATTCATCTACGGTCAGACCTTTCGGGCAGTTAATATCGGTTACGTCACTGTCTCGCAAAGGTCTACCGAGCGTGACGTACTGTTAAATGTAACATGTTTTCTGAAGCACAAACCGGAACATCTTGAAAATATTCTTAAATGTTTTACAAGCACACCTTTTCCGTAGCTTAATCAACTTATAACCGTAATAGTTTACTTAAAGTTAAGGTGAATATTGTCTCACTGTTTCTTAGTCTTTGGTTAGTGTGTGAGTGAATGGGCACATCAATTGTAAAAAAAATGTCCAGGGTAAACATTAATCAGTGTTTGCGTCTCACTGTTCATTTGACTTTTTATCCATATGACTTCTGATATCGGGGATGCTTCTCTGATTATTAGATTTCCTCCAAGTAACAAGAAGTCAGAACAAAAATACGTTTATCGTAACAAAACGAAAATTCGACCTTATGTAAAATGTAAATAGCAATATATCATTAGAGACTATATTACATCACATTTATTTTTTTCTGTAACTTTTAATATAATCAGGTACAGGTTAGTGATTTTGAACTTTTTATATGCTATTACAATCACTATAAATAGTAAGGTTTTATTTTATCGTGGCAACGGCACTTGCGTTCATGATTTTTGTCCTTCATTTCCAGTTCTCTGTTTACGTAAAATGAAAGCATATGGGGAAATACTTTATTTTCAAATGTAAAACTCTATGTATCCCTTTGAATCTTGACTTGATTTTTTTCTTGTAAAAGTGAATCTATAGAGGACGTTAGATATGGATTCTAAATTTGCGAAAGACCAAATATTTTAACTGATATATTTCATTTTATACAGGTAACACTCCCTGTCCCTGTGTATGGTGAGTTTTGTGTACATAATTTAGATCTATTCATTTCCAGTTTATCGCTTATCTTTAATCATAATATATATCGTTGTGACACTACATTGTTTTGTTTGGTCATGTAAAACTTAAAATCACTCTAAATGTTATCTGTGTTCTTTTACTGACATGAGTTATAAAGTTATGAATATGAAGACAGATCCTGTTTAACGTGTAACATGTTCTCGGAAACTGCATTATTTTATTTGATAATGTAAAACTCACTTTTAGTTCATATTACAAAAGGGTAAATTAATATGTATAATACTGCATGTAATGTGACAATCTATACACAACGGAAATAAATACGATGATTAACGATCATGTGTCTTTTGAACCGGATACTCGCCTAGGAGAGGAAAAGACAGATACATAAAATAATAGATAGATGAATATATATATATATATATATATATATATATATATATATATATATATATATGTGTGTGTGTGTGTGTGTGTGTGTGTGTGTGTGTGTGTGTGTGTGTGTGTGTGTGTTTGTGTGCGTGTGTGTGTGTGTGTGTGTGTGTGTGTGTGTGTGTGTGTGTGTGTGTGTGTGTGTGTGTGTGTGTAAATATATATATATACATATACATATATATGTATATATATGCATATATATATATATACATATATATATATATATATATATATATATATATATATATATATATATACACACACATATATATATATATATATATATATATATATATATATATATATATATATATATTATATATATATATACATATATATATATATATATATATATATATATATATATATATATATATATATACATATATATATGTATATGTATATATATACATATACATATATATATATATATATATATATATATATATATATATATATATATATATATATATATATATATATATATGTATATATATATATATATATATATATATATATATATATATATATATATATATAGAGAGAGAGAGAGAGAGAGAGAGAGAGAGAGAGAGAGAGAGAGAAAGAGAG